TTGCTCTAGCTTCAGGGCTGGCAGCGTGCTCCTGCCCTTCCTCTGGGACCCCCAGCTGTGCAGGAGTTCCCTGCTCACAGTATAAACCCCTGGCACGCCCTGTAGCACTTCCTGTGCACAAGAGCTCAGTGTCAAAGCCCTGTGGAGGGTGGGCATCACCAAAGAGCATCTGCCTTTGTTAGCCAGGTCCTGGTGCCTTGAGGTCCAAGCTGTGTGAGATTTGAAGTCACACAGTGTGGCAGCTGTCGTGGAAGCCACCTGGTCCCCAGGGCATTGCCAACAGCCTGTGGTGTACTCCCATGGCACTGCCCTCCCGGCGCTCCCAGGCTGTGTATCTTCAGGCCTCCCTGCACCTCAGCTTATGGTTCCAAGGAGCCAAGGCATGGAGCCACGTGTGTGTGGATCAACACAAGCACACATCTCACAGCCCAACCCCTGGTGCAGTTATTTTTACAGCTTTCTGACTGGGACCCCTGGCCTAGGCCACATCTCTGTGACAGGCTTAAGTAATTTTAGAAATGTAATAAATGGCATTTGTAAAGAAGGAAAATGAACTAGTCAACCTAGTTGATTTCTATGATCCTCAAGAAAATCTTTGTCAGACTGGGTATGGTGGCTCACCCCTGTGATCCCAGCACTTGGGTGACTGAACACAGGAGGGTCACTCCGAGTCCAATCTACATAGTGACACCCTGTACTAAATACATTAAGAAAAAAAAGAAAGAAAATGTTTGCCAAGCCTTGGAGAAGAGGCCTTTCAAATGGGCTCTAGTTGTGTTTCAGGAAGCAGAGAACGAGCTGGCTGCTGAGTGGTGAATGTCAAGTGCTGTCCTTCTTTCCCTTGTGCGGTTCCCTCTGGTCATTGGCACCACCAGGCCTCACCTCCTTCCTTCCCTGGTTTCCTCTCCAAGCTGCAGGCCCCTTCCTACCTGCCTGCACCTCCTGTGCAGGCCACCAGCGGTGCATTGGGGCCAGTGCTGAAGTGGCCATCCCTGTCAGCATGTCCCGTGTCCCCTGGCTCCATCACAACACCCTGGCTGATGTAGCAGCACCAGGGATTGGCCCTGCTGTCTGTTCTCGGCCGTCACCCTTGCTTGTCCCTGTCTGACGCTTTCTCCCAACATCGCCTCCTCTGTGTGTCCCACTGCTGTCTCCACCCTCCCCACATTCATTTTTTTTTCCTCACTTTTTAAATTTAATTTTGAAAAGTAAAAGCAAAGCAAGAACAGAAATCCGAAACAAAGAAACAGGGCAACATACAACTACACGTGTTACAGATTTTGAAGCTAAGAATAGCTGATTAACAATGGTTGATATATTATCTATTTTATCATCAAATCTGTTGCCCAGATTAGCAGATTAAGTTATGTAAGATTGGACATATGCTTGGATATTACCACTCACTTTCAAGAAACCTTGAATTTTTGTTGTCTCTTTTTTTCCCCAAAGTTTGTTTTAAAAGAGAGTATAGTAATAGGACATTAGAAACAGTACACATTTAGAAGACCAAGATGACAAGCATTCAAGCATGGTTTTTGTGTTACATATTGCTGTCCTCCACGTAGTTGCTTAGATTGCAGCTGTCAGCATACAGTTGGTCAAGGTGAAAATTCTACACATTAACTGCTATTTTCAAAAGACTGATGGAGATTTTCAATACAGTCTCCTCAGCCATCCTGTGTATATACTTGTATGTTTTTTCCCCTACCTTTTTTTCTTATCTTTTCTCTCTCCTCTTCATCGTTTAACCTTAAATTCTGTTTCTTTCTGCTTTACTATATCTCTTATACCTTTCAGGTTTTATGTCTTCTTTCGCGTTCATACACTAGGAGACGAGACGATATTTACCCATGTAGGTCTGGTTTATTTCACTTCTGAGCGCAGCCTCTAGTATATCCTCCCCTTTCCTACTCCTCTCCTGCCTCAGGAAGACCATAATCCTAGTCGTCTCCACTCTAGACCAGCGTATTGGCCTCTCCCGTTGCTGGGCCGCTGCCCGACGCCCGCAGCCTAGAGGCGGAGTTTGGCTCTCGGTCTCTGTGTGTGCGGTCCATGGCAGGCTGGCTGGTGGGCAGACCGGCCTGGTGGAAGGGCCTGGCGGAGGAAGGACAGCTGCTGGCCCAGGAAGCCGAGCAGGAGGGCGGCCGGGAGCAGAGGGCACCTTCCCTTCACCGCCGTGGTGCAGCCCAGGGGCCAGGCCTCTCACAGCACATGCGGGAGGCCGGCCACGCGCTCACCTGCAAAGCAAGCTGTGGAGGAGCACAGCTCGCCCGCGATCCCGTCACCTCCCTGAAGCCTCACCTCTGCACACCTGAGCCCTTCGGGGGACATTAGATCTACTCCATGACAACGGTTCCATCCCCAGTATGGTGCTACTTCAACAGTTTAGAGTGCTGTAAAACAACAACAAAAGCCCACTGGGCCCCTCAGTGTTAAACTCAGTCATTTCCCTGATAATCAGACATGGGAGAGCGAAAGCTAAGCTTTCACTCTCGATATTGATCGCTGTTAAATACATCTAAAGCCCCAAATATGAATTGCAACTGACTTTAAAAGAAAGAGTCCCATTTAAATTGACAGCACTCATTGACCTTGAAGGGTGACGTGGCTTTGCCAAAATAGAAGCACCCCGGAGAGAAGGGTCCTCCTCGCTGCAGCGCAGGCTCCCTGCATGTGGCCGTGGGACACTGTGACCCATGTCTCATGTTCCCACATCCACAGTGGGCAGTGCAGTGGGTGGCTCTGGATCTCCTGGAATCTCTGGGGCCGACATCCCACCATGAGCCCCTAGGGGGGCCTGTGGGAGGCTAGGGCCGAGCATAGGGTTCCTGGACACCGGTGTTTCACGGACGCACTGGCTTCGGTAGCACTGGCATCCTCACAGTCCACAACATCCTCCCAGGGAACCACAGAGTTTAGTTAAAATTGTCAACGCTTCGGTTTTTCTTCAGCAGGTCGTTGTCTCCCTGACATCAGAGTAAGTTGGCCTAACTTAGTTCCCCAGAAAACTATGGCTTTCCCTCCTCACCTGCCTCCTAATTGCACTGTGGTCCCCCTCCCCACTTTTGCCCCTAATAAAAACTCCTTGTAACCTTCCCTAGTGGAAGGGTGATTCTGAGCGTGGATTTGCTCCTGGTGCGCCCACCAGCTGGTGCTTCTCTAGAGCTCCGGGTGTGCACCGCGGTTGGCTCACATGTGCTGGTGAAGGAAAAGAGCCCTTGAAGCCCTGAGCAGCTCTCGTCTTCCAGGACACTGCGGTGAGCCCTGGCCCTGGTACTGGCGGAATTCCATCTGAAAGGGGCACAGGAAAATATGGGCCCAAGGAGAACTTGGCGAGGTGTTGCCAGGCTAAGTTTCAGAATGGTAGGAATCCCCTGGGAGGATTGCTGAGGGATCTGCAGCAGCTGCTAACGTAGTGCTGCGGCTCTCGTGGTGGCTGCCTCGCCCGCTGGTGGGTGCCATGCAGTGCAGCCTTGGGGCCTCGGTCAGCTCACCTGGTAGCATGGTGTCTAGGCCTGATCCACTAGGTTGGTCTCGGTGCCCTGTGTGGTTTCTAGTGGTCTCGAGCTCAAGAAAGCAAGGTGGCCCACATTGGCCACCATTTCCTTAACATTCTGAGAATATGCAGATGCACAGCCTTCCAGAGACCCATTTGTGACTCATGTCAAAAATTCAAATCTTTCTCACAGCAGCAGCAGCAATGTCCTATAGAGCTGGCTCCAAACCCAGGGCGTTTCTGAGGCTCAGCTATGAGCTGAGTAAATAAAAAGCAGTACTGCGGCAATATAATTTTTTTTTTTTTCAGTACTGGTGATCGAACTCAGGACCTTGCACTTGCCAGGCAGGTGCTTATACATAACCCTGAGCTATCTCCCTGGCCCTTGTGGCAACATAATTGAAACTTGAACTCCATTATCCCACATGAGAATCCTTACCTAATTTTTTCTCAGGTCATCCTTCTTGAGGGAGTACAAGTTCAGGTGTCAGCAGAAACTGCTATGAATTCCAGGGGAGACGCGGGCCCCTGCCTGCTCAAGTTGTTTGAGCAGATTCCAAAGTGGGTAGCTTTCCTTCGGAGCTTTAGGGCTGTGTGAATGACCTGGCACTAAGCACAAGCTTTCTGGGTCGTGACTGTGGCCATCCGTGCTTATAAGCATCTGGTGGGGAGAACAGGTAGATTCTTCCCTTTTCTTTATTGTGTGTAGACAGGAATTAAAAGATGGCAGTTACGGAGGTGAACAGAGAACCTTGCTGTGCGTGCCGGAGCTGAACTGCACGAGCGAGGCAGGGGAAGCCCAGGCTGGGAAAGAAGCCCGAGGTCCTGTCTGGGGCCTAATCTTGCTCAGAAGTGGCAGTCGGTTTTCGTCCTGCGGGGAGACCAGCAGACAGAGTCAGAGCATGCTGGGAATTGCTGCTTAAAATCAAGGCTATGTTTGCATCAGCTGCTCCAGAACCAAGGGCTGAACGTAGCTTCAAAGTGTGCAGTGACTACGGCTCGTGAATGCTTTTCAGGAGAGCTTTTGCAAAACAGATCATAGAACACAGAAGTCATTTGTTAAATAGTGTCACTGAAGCCTGCGAGTGGAATTTCATTTTTCCTAAAAGTAAAAAATCTGAAATGAAGGAGACAGTAAGGTGAATGACCTGTTCATTCTGCGAGGTGTTTCCTGGGTGCTAATCACTTGGTGATGTGCGAGACCCCAGGCAGCACCGCAGGGTATTGGGAACTAGATCTGGGTGTTGGTGGTGGTTTTCAGCATTCGCTGGAATCACAGGGCTGTGTCTTGCACGCAGACATCTGAGCACACTTGCTGAATACTACGTGTACCTTGCATGTACAGGTCAAGCAGAAACCTCACTAATGGCCCAAAACAGGTGCAGTTTCCCTTTTAAGAGGGCAGAGAGGCAGAGGAAGTTCAAGGCTGTGTGAGTAACCCTTGCGCCTGCTGCTGCTACCCCTACTTACACGAGACTTTCTGTCTGGCTCCTTTCCCTCGCAGGGCATGCTGTTGAAGCGAAGTGGAAAGTCACTGAACAAAGAGTGGAAGAAGAAATATGTCACCCTGTGCGACAATGGCGTGCTGACCTACCATCCCAGTTTGCATGTGAGTACCGCCGCTGTGACAGCCACCGGGTCCAGCCCTCTCCGAAGCCCCAGGGGCGGCGGGCACTAGCAGCAGTCAAGCATCGTGCCTGTGTTTGAAGTGAAAGTAGTATTTGGTCTCCTGCTCAGTCGGGAAATAAATAATACTGTCCCTGACACTCTGGTAGACCATCTGTCTTTCTCGCTCCTGTCCCCGCCCTGACAGTTGATCTGCACCTCTGCAGATCTACAGAGAATTACAATAAAAGGCTCAGACAAGTAAAATTTAAATGAGAGTCGGAAGACAAGAGCAAGTAGTAAAGGAGAAAGGAGGGGAGAATGTACCTACCTGAAAACCTGGAATGAAAGAGACAATTATATGTGAACCCAGGGCTCAGTTCTGCACAGCCGAGAGCAGAAACAAGAAGTTACATGCAATTCATAACCCATGTCCTCTTGTCTAATAAAGCACCCATGCATAATGTCGAGTGCTAATTATTAAAGTCCCCCTCCACATGAAGCCCACCTGGCCAGCGTGGAGGTATGTGCTTTGGGGGTCGCGCTCCAGCCAGCTCCACCTGGGCCTCTCTGCCCCATGAGCCCGAGTGCTGGCTGCAGCCTGCATTCCTTGCTGCTAGTAGGCCGCCTGCACCTTCCCAGGTTAGCAAATGTGGGCACGCATCACTGTGCTAATGCTCGTGTGACGCTCCGCTGTGCAGGGCACCCCAGGAGACCCAGGAGCATCTCAAAAACTGACTCTTAGCGAGTACATTTACTTTAACTTTCTTCACAATTATAAAGACCTTTAAATCCGTGTCCTTCTGTCTCTCTCTGTCCTTGTCCACTGCTCTAGAATAAATTCCCAGTAATCTGATTCCTGACCTGAAGAGTATGTGTGCTGTTACGGCCTGGGACATATGTTAGCAAATTCCTAGGGAGATTGTACAGCTCATCTCCTGGTAGTTCGCAGAAGCCCTTTTCCCTACATTCTAAACAACGTTTAGTTTTTATCTCAAGTAAGAAGGCTTGTCCACCATGCCGGGTGACAGGCGGCCCCAGCTTAGTTTGCTTGCTGGGTGAATTGCCCTTTCCCACCCCACCTCCCAGCAGCAGCTGCACTTTGCAGACCCACGTCCAAAAGGCAGATGTGGCGTTAGGGATCCCTGGCTCACATCCCCCACTAAGGACAGTGCCTCCCTGCCTGACCAGGAAGTAGATGTTTGAGGGGTACACAGGTGACCCCGATGCATTCCTTCACGCTAGGATTTTCCTCCTTGACCCTTGCCTCCCAGAGCCATCCTGCATTTCACCTTCCGTGCAGTAGCCAGCAGGGTGCACAAGCCTGGCCACACTCCCACGCAAAGGAGGCTTTTGCATTTGATGGTTTGGCCCAACAGCGAGCTAGTGTGAGCGTGCTGCGCAGCACTGAAGCAGATTAGGCTGATTGGAGGGGGGGTGAGAGACGTTCAGCGGGTCAGGTGTGCTCAATTTTTCTACCTGCATTTTCCACTTAAGGATGTGTTTATAGGGGTGTAACCCCACTGTACATTGAGAAGCATACACATGCATAGGAATATAGCTATACGAGATGTGCAGACGTATTCTCATGCAGGTACAAAGATGTTTGTTCTTCCCTGCACCTGGAGAGAGATGGATGTCTATGCAGAGATAGGCATTCTTTACTGTACTGCCAGGTTCCCTCTGGAGTAGACTTGGTTCCACAGGTGGCCTCCAAATCAGAGGGAGAACATGTGCTCCCGAGGCTGCTCTTCACCAGGGTCTTTGCGGTCCTGCATCCCCCTTCCATTCATGGCTCCTGGCCATCGGGATCAAGGCAGCGCTAGGTCTCTACTGGCTCATCTCCCCAGAGCTGCCACACAGCAGGGAAGGATGCTCTGTTGGGAGCTTTGTTTTCCCCAAGACCCAGTCTGGGCAAAGGTCTGAGTGTCCAGTACTTTCTGTGTACCTTAGAAGGAGAAGCGTCATCCTTATATTCCTGAGGGCTCCATGACCAGTAAGCAGAGCATCTTTAGTTGCCACATCCCAACCTGCAGAGCCTTGGGCTCCCAAAGGGATGCTGATTTTTTGCCCAGGGACAAAGTTGTAAGAACAGCACTTACCTGCAGATTCCCGCAGGAGGGCAAATGCTGCTTGCTTCCGCTGCAAGCTCTTGATTATAAAATCGCAGTCCATTTTTCAAAATTCATTCATGCACCGACTTTTCCTTGTGATGTCCTTCAGTGTTGGTGAATTCCATCTTTTCTCATTTCCTCCTTATCCATGAATATCACTCAAGTACAGAAGAGGATTACACATAGTCCCAAAGGGACATATGTAGGCCCTGGGGAGTGGCTTAGCACAGGGATGCATTTCAGTTCCAAGGACCTGGAGAGATGGCATGAGCGGGAGAGAAATCCTTCACTGATTTGATTCTCACAGCTTTGCTTTGGGTGAAGGTGTAAAGGGTGGTGGGCTCCAGGTGTGTCAGTTTTTGGATGCCAGGGACACCCTTATCTGGTCTGTTTTGAGGTAGTGGGAGCTGCAGGTCAGAACAGCTGAGTTACTCAGGTGCTCCTCATTCAAACAGGAAGGGGACCAAATAAGATGCCTCTAGAAAGAATCAAGGCTGTCCTCAGTAAGACGCTGGTGGTGCGCAGCTGGGCTGCCTGTGCCAGCTTTAAAGATCCTTTCCCATTTATTTCAGTCTACAAAGTTTCAAAAACTGGTGGACCCAGATGGTCTTGGGCAGATGCTTGCCACATAGCGATGGTGATCTCCAAGGTAGAGTGTGCGGGTCCCTAAGGTGACTGTAAGTCCCGGATCACATGTGGGGACAGCTAAATGATGTCAGAGAGAGCTGCCAGAGTGAATGCTTTGGGTGTCAGAGCCATTAGGATCAGTCCCCACCTTGTCACTGGCCATGCTGTGAGCTGGACCTCTTCTACCCACCCTGGTGACACTACCTTATCTGACTCCCTGAAGCTGCTTGATTTTCAAGATTTCAGGCCAGTATCCACCTGTCTAGACTTTGGTGGCATCATTGGACAGAGACAGTAACCTGTAAGTGGAGCAGAATCCCTCCTTGGTACTAGAGAGAAATGTCACCTGATTGCAAGAGCTCTGTTCTCATCCATCTTTTCTCAAAAAAGCACCGAGGGGGGCTGGCTTAGCTCAGGGATCTAAGCACCTGCCTGGCAAGCACAAGGACCTGGGTTCAGTCCCTGCTACCACATGCCCTGCCAGCCCCAGAACCCCGGGCATGACGTACAGGCCCCTGAAACCAGGCATGGTGGCACACAGCTGTAATCCCAGCACTGGGGAGGCTGAGACAGGAGAATCACGAGTGTGAGCTGCTTAGCAAGGCCCTGTACCAAATGCATAAATAAAAAGGTCAAAATAGATAGACAGGTACCATTGGGTCTTACCCAGGTACCATGGAAGTGTCTGTAAAAGGTAACATCCTTAGGACAAGAGCCCAGAGTTTCAACCCAGTTACTTGCTATGCATCGGTGTGGCAGACCGCAAGCCCAGCCTCGTGAGCAGACCACCAGTTGGAGTGGGGCTCTAGCTGAGCACTGAACTCTTGCGGCCCCAGTAGATTGCGTGCTCTCTGCAGCAGTGAAATGGGGGGACCCCTGGCATGGTGGCACCCAAACGGACCTGGCACGAGGCTCAAAGGCTCCTGCATGTTGGAAGGCTCAGCAGCCGGAAGCACCTTGATGCTTGTCCCAAAGCCGGAGGCCTGTGGGGAGCCTGGGCCAGTTCGTACAGGCAGAAGGCTACAGGAGGAGCAAGGACCTTAGCTGGACAGGGTCCCCCGGGAGGTCACTCCCCACCACCTGACATCTCCACCTCCTCTTTCTTTGTCATCCATTTGCTGCTACACCTGCTTTCTGTGGCCTCAGTCACCCCCCTGTTGAGCATCGTCCTCCACAAGCTTCACTCTGTGTTTTAGCCCATCTGCTCAGGTCCTGCAGATGGTCTAGAAGACCAGTGACCATAGGGTGCTTTTCAGGCAGCTCAGCCTCTCTGTGCTTCACCGAGCCTGGGCTATACCTGCTTGCTCCCTCATGGAAGACATGGAAGGAAACATTTCTTCCAGCCCCATTTCCTGTTGCACAAAGCCTTGGCACTTTCTCAGGGAGGAGACCACTTGGGCGAGAGCTGACAAGCAGTTCCTGGGGATGACAGCAGCCTGGGGATCAGAGGGAGGTGAGCAGCACAGCGCTGGCCCAGACACAGAGCACTCGGTGCCTGAGCTGTGCAGATTTGCCGCCTTGGGTTCAAGGAAGGCTGTGCCCGCCCTTCACCCCCGTGCGCCTCCTGGCTCCCCTCAAGGCCCAGGGGCTGACAGTGGCAGCCTCACAGAAAGCATGGCCTTGGGAGGAATGATGATGGGCTCTGGATGTCCCTAGACCACTGGCTGCCAGGCTGGATGCCCACCGTGGTCGTGGCGTCTTAGTGACATTTCTCTTGCTGCTGAGACAAAATATCTGACACCCAAAGTTGGAGGGCAAAAGATTTGTCTCACAGTTTGTAAAGGTTTCAGTTCATAATTGGCTGACTCCAGTGCTGAGCAGCATGGCAGAGGGGCCTCAAAAAGGAGAAATGGTTCATGGTGGGCAGAAGGCAGCAGAGCAAGGGGCAGGCAAGGCAGCCCCCGTCTGCCCCTTGTGTTGTATCCAGGTTGCCAGGGATCAGGGCTGCCAGAGAGATCAGTGGACTGATTTGGTGATCACCCACCCTTAATCCCTGAGCCCTTGATTGTAGCATCACAGCATGCATCAGTCACATGTCTGGACTCAGCCACCTTGGGAAAAGCCCCACCTATGGCTACGCGGAGGGGGGGGGCATCTAGACGTAAGCCATAACACACAGGGTCCAGCAGGGGCACGAGGGGGCCCAGTGGCGAAGGAGGTGCCCAGAATGGGGACACGGCTTCTGTTCAGCAGCTGGATCCTGAGGGCCCCGGGCTGCCTGGCCTGGTGTGACCACCAGAGCCCTCATACTCAGAGTTGCTTC